GCGAAATACCCAAAAAGAAGTTTGTAAAAAATGAATCCGCCTAAACAATATAGAACTTATCTATAATTACCGTATTAACTTAGTTCTTGCAATCATCGCAAATCGCAACTTTACTCGCTAAATAACTCGTTTTTACTTTAAAATTGGGTCTTAAAATGTCGCTTAGAACGCGTGTCGCTTTAATTATCAAAATAACTTCAGCTTCCTTCTTTAGCTTCCATGCTAAGTTTTGTAGCCGATTAAGAACGATACCGAACAAATACAAATTTATGATTATAAATTAAACTGTAGCCTAATTACACACTTATTTATTGACTTCCATAGCCACCTTACAAAATGTAGCAACTTTTTGAAATTTTTAAACAAAATAAAATATAATTTGAAAACGGTTGATTTCACGGCTTAAAGGGTAAATGCAAATTTGTAACTTTGCAAATTGTCTATCTAATGACGTATTAATATACAGGTACTTCCGTTTGAAAAACAAAAGTTATATTGCGTAAAAAAGTTTTTGATTGAAGTCCACATTGTTCACACCCTGTACAATGTATTGATATTTTGGTTCAATAGAATTCTTCACGGATCTGTGGTGAATGGAAAGACGTATTTTTTTGTATCTTTAACTGTTTGTTTTTGCTTCTACAATGAATTTTTAGATACCATGTTTTTAAAATTTTTAAAAAAATTTTAAATTTTTTTTCTAAAATGGCGATAATCTGCCAACGTCGCAAGTAAGAAAAAAAACAATTTCCGGTGCATATGCAGCGTTTTAAGCTGCCTTCCATGAACTAATGAAAAATGGGTAGTTCTCTTTAAAAAAATACACTTTGATCTTGCCTCGCTTTTCTGAGACACTGTATCATATAAGATATTTTTAATATTTGCGCACTTTGTGCGTCAACAACTTTTATATGAAACTATTTTTCGAAAGTTCAACACCATCGGAAAGAATGAACTCTATCGCACTAAAAAACGACCCTGTATGTATTACTTTTCGGTTCCATTCAAAATCTTAACAATATATTTCAATTTTATTGTTCTATATTATGATTACTAAATACGCAATTCCGAATTTGGTATAAAAAGACATTCCAACTTCACGTTCATCTTTTTCAAATACACTGAGCTCTATCCGCCTCTACAAGATATAACATTAATATCGAGAAAAATCGAACCACAATAAAACTATTATAATTGAAACCTCCTCTATATTTATTATTCCAATAAATTGCTTAATAAAACGGAAAAAAGATCAAAGGCGGGCATGAGCCTTATCAGTCAAATTGATTGCAATATATAGTAGTCAATATACTTACTTCGATAAAAGTGTTAAGAAATTACGATTGGCTCTTTGATATCAGCCGACAGAAAAGTGCGATTACAGAGAACGGTAGCAATATAAAATTTATTATTTAAGGGGGTCTCTGTAGGGATCTTG